GAGTAAGTCTGGGAAATTGCCAAGTCATCTTGACGGATCTCTCAATTTTTTGCGGGATTTCCATAATAATATAGGAAGTCGTGGGTTTACCAGTTCTGGATTGCTAACTGATTCTATTAAGGAACAGGATGTTCCCCAACCAAAGGGGAAAATTGAGGTTGCTGGAAATAGTTCTTCAAATAACAAGCTGCCTCATTGGCTTCGGGAAGCTGTAAGTGCTCCTGCAAGACCCTCAGAACCTGATCTACCACCAACTGTCTCGGCAATAGCACAATCAGTTCGCTTGTTATATGGGGAAGAGAACTCCACCATTCCTCCTTTTGTAGTTCCAGGTCCTCCTCCTCCCCAACCAAAGGATCCACGACGGAGTTTGAAAAAAAAGAAGAAACAGAGGTCACATTCACTCAGGCCACTTCCACAAGATATTGCTGGAACCAGCCATAGCTTGCAAAGCAGCCTCCATGGTGACAATGTAGTAGTGTCAACCTCTGTTCCGCTGATCCCATCATTTCCTTTGCTTCCACAATCAGCAGCTGAAGCTTCAGGAGATCCTCAGATCGAACCCAACCATAGTATGATGAGCCCATCGTCCTCATCAGTGTTTCCAAACCCACATAAAAAAACAAGCTATGGATTGTCCCCCTCGCCGGAAGTGCTGCAATTGGTTGCGTCCTGTGCTGCATCCAGTCCAGTCCCTGGGGTAACAAGTTCAGGCCTCCTTGAAAGCAAGCTACCTCTGCCAAAATCTGTTGATGAAGGAGGATCAGACTCCCAAGACGCATGTGGACAACAGAAGGCCAAGCAGAGCTCGCCTCTTGGTGTGTGGTATCCGCTTCCAGAGGAAAAAGTTGACCTGACAGATAGTGGGGATTCAAGCAAGACTCATTCGGATCCTGCTCGGCCTCCACAGCCTGATGTAGAGGAAATATCATCAGAGGGGACAGTGTCGGACCATCGTGCAAGCGACCATGAATGATAGCCTTAAAATGTCAGTTAAATGGAAGGTGGTTATTCTTCTTGCTATTAAAGTTTCAGGCCCTTAGCCTATGTGCTGGAATTTTTGTAGTCATGATGGAGCGAGTGTTTCACTAGCAAGTATAGGATAATTTTGAACACCTATTATGTAAAGCTTTTGGAAGAGAGAATTGAAATATATAGTATCACCCCTATGGTATTGCTGCCTTCTTATCTAACCCAGGCATTTTGGCTTTTGGTTCCTTTTGTTTTTGTTCTCTATAGATGTAGATTTGTTTTTAAAGTATATAAATTGGTTTCCTGCATAATGAGGTCTCTGTTACACTGGAACAAAATGTGTGTGTTACACTTACATTACTTCCTCCGGAGTTGAAACAGAGCACTCTGTTTTCAAAGGAACACTTCATTTTAAGACCCAAAAACAGAAGGTACTTCCTCTAACGATGAGATAAGCGCACTTTAATGCTATTACACAAATGCAAAGGATGAATCTCTCTCTCTCTCTCTCTCTCTCTCTCTGTAGACGCACACAAGCAATGGCATGAGCGATCACAAGCATTCAACTAATGCAAAATTAAGTCTTGGTTCTTTGTGTCTGCCGAATTTCTCTGTTGAAGGATGTTGCAGGAATTTTGTAGGATGATAGCAATTACCAGAGCAAAGGAAATATGTTGTGTCAATTAAGTCTCGATTTTTTTTTTTTTTTGTAGAACCTTTCTATCTGCCTCGATAAGATTTTTTAACGAAAAGTGGCGAAGTGTGATACATGACACAAATGGATGGAGTAAATTATACATATGACCCTCAAATTATGACTCTTGTATTAATTAAACTTTTGTGTGTGCCAATTGAATTCTTGAACTCTATTATGTCAATTGAGCATTTTTGTCTTTTGTGCCATATAGTCATGTGAGTAACACATTCTAACAAAGACCGAATGACTCAATTGACATAATTAGAGAGTTTATAGGCTCAATTAACACCAAAAAAAAAATAAAATTTATGGGCTTATTTGACATAAAAATTATAAACTATATATATGACCCCCAAATTAAGTTTAAATTTTTGAGCATATTATAGTTAAGCCCCCTTAACTATGGACTTGATTTTATTTTGTTACTTGAACTATTGAATTTTCACATTGTTCCCTCAATTATTTGAATTATTTTATATTAAACTCAATTGCAAATGTTCACTATCTTTTTAGATGAAAATCACCCATCAAGACAAAGTAAAAAAAATTTACTTGGCTACTTTTTGTTAAATTTATAACGGATGCTAAAAATTGAGACAAAATGAAATTAATTACATAAAAAGGTGTAATGAGAAAAATAAGATAATTGAGAGATGATGTGAAAAAAAAGTCATAGTTGAGTGTACCAAAAAATAATTTTATCAGTTTTTTTTTACCTTATTAGTTGAACCTACAAAAATTCACGTATGGGACCAAGGAACAAAAGAGCAAAACACGATTTAATCGAAATTGATTAAATTTTCAATTTTCGGTCGTCAACTCCCCATAAGTGGTATGGTATGTGGGGTTGGATAAAATTTAAAAGGTAAATTTTGTGAAAATAATTAAATATACTTTTTAAACCCGTGTTTTGTTCAAAATTTGAGACTCAAAATTCATAAGATAAATGAATCTCGACTCGTAGTGAATAATTGATTAAAACCTATAAATGAGAGTTTGACGAAACTCGTGAGCTTCTTTTGGTAGCAAGAAAGTGGGGGAAATGGGGAAAAGAGAAATTTTTTAAAATTTTCATGTGTTTGGTTGACATGAAATAGAAAATGATAGAAAAAATAATCTTTTTTTCATGATTTAATTTTTTCAAAACTAATCAACTTTTTTTTTCTCGTAAAAAATACAAGTAAATGCCATAAAGTCTGTAATGTATCGCTAACTTCTCATTTTACACTTATTTTTTTTAAAATATTTTATTGATTATTAATTTTAAAATATCTAGGTATGGATTTAGTTAACCATATATTTTGGTCCAAAGAATTTTGCATTGATGTTTGTCATAGAATTAAGTTACGAGCCAATTTTTTTTAAAATTTTTTAACTTTCAATTATAATACATCTTTTTTTTTTAAGACCGATTTAATATAATTAAGAGTAATTCAAACAATTTAAAAAATTTTCTTATAACTTTCTTTTTCTTCAAACAAAAGAATAATTTTTTTTAAAACTTTTTTGTAATTTTTTCATTATAACCAAATACAGGTATGAAAACATATTTTTTGTCATTTTTTTTTTCTTTTACTTCATTTTTTATTATTTTCACTTATCATATCATTCTTTTCTTCCTAATCAAATGGACCCGTGGGATTTTGGGGGAGATTCAAAAGAGAGAGGTTGAGTTTGTGGATAAAAAGATTATTTTATTGAAAAATTTATTATTCTAGTTATTTAATAATGAATATTATAGGGAGAATTACATTCAAACACTTTGAAGTTTGTCACTTAACCACACACACCTCTTGATATTTAAAATTAATAAATTACACCAAGACCCCATGAAGTTTGTAGCCTTACAATTTTTAAACCCTTCAAGTTTAAAATGTTATACTTAGACAAAAAATACTCCAATCAAAGATAGAATATCAAATATTTTAAATTTTATAAAAATAAATTCAAATTCGAGTTGTGTTCATTTATTGAAATAAAATCAAAAATAAAAATCTAATTTTTAAAAAAAAATCATAATTAATATACAATTATACTATCTATTAGAATTTAATTGGTAGTTTAAACGGTCAAATTAAACTATCAAATTACCCCGATTAAAATTAGCAGATATTCTGTTCATTACAATTTGACATCTTATTTGATTTTTTAATTTTATTCCAAAAAATAGTATAATTGTATACTAATTATGTTTTTTAAGAAAAAAATAAATTTTATTTTTATTTTGTTTAAATAAATGATTTAATAGAACATAAATTTTAGTTGTAAAATTTAAAATATTTAATATTTTATCTTTAATTAAAGTTTTTTTGGTCTAAATATAACATTTTAAACTTGAGAAGTTTAAGTATTACATGACTATAAACTTTACTGGGTCTGGATATCATTTATTTACAGACTAGTGATACCCCATGACTAAAGTCATTGTACATTGAATTATAACACTGTACATGCATTGAAATATGTGTGTATGTATGTGTTGTAAAGTGTGTGTTGAGTTTTTGATATTTAGGGGGAAAAGTGTGTCGAGTGTGTAAAATTTGAAAGAAAAATACGCTCTTATAAGTTCAAATACTTATTTGATTTATTGTATAGATATACTAATCAATATTGACGGTAGAAGTTTAAGGGTCACGCAAGTGCAAACCTCAAAGGATTTTTATGTAATATTTCTAATATTAAGGAATCTAAATAATTAAATGACAAACCTAAATATAATGTTTCCAATATTTTAATAAGTTAAATAATATGATTCCACATGAATCCATAAACCCTTTACATCACCTACATGTTTGAATAGATTTATTTTTTGGAATCCCAAGTATACATCATTGGGGCTGGATTTGGGAAGATTTCATAAAACCAATCCAAACCCCCCACCCTTCAAAAAAAAAAAAAATCCAAATACAAACAGACCCTAACTGTTTTATGCAAGATATCTAAAGAAAACCAGCTCCATCTATTTTGCAATCAAACAAGTACTGAACTAAGTGTCAATTGAAATCAAAACAAAAAACTCTAGGATATGAAATTACATTTCATCACCAGTAAAAAAAGTTGTGATTTCAGAAATCTGTTGGAATGTTCATTCAATTATCGGGATGCATTGTAATTTATGGATGCTTACCCATACAGTAATTACCAATTTAAATCGAAGTGGGCACCAGAGAGAGAGAGAGAGTTCATTCCAAAACTTAGGACATTATCCTGCTAACTCTGTATAACAACCTTGAGACAAGGTCTGAAGGATACAAACTTTGATCTAAAAGAAACAGAACATTTCCATAGAAAAACAGAACTGCATTTATATCTATGTAGTGATTTATAGATTCTAGGCTTGGACAGTCATTTCTTGTCTTGGGGTTGCAACAAACCTTGATGAAAAAGCACAAAACTGATAATAGTCTTCATCCAAAAAGCTACCACAGCCACCAGTGTCGAAGTTTAGGGAATAGCTGAGAGGGTCATAGCGGCATTGGAATGATGCTTGTCGGCTGGTGGACCGCAGCATTCGCTTGTGTTTCTTTAGCTTTCTTAGGAGTTTGGATAGGCAGCAACAGTTGGGTGGTGAGTTTGTTTCAGCCACGGAACTGGTGGTTGAGTTGGTGGTGGAACTGGGTTTTGGCCACCGAAGGAATCCCATTTGTGTCATATCTCCTTTTTCCACTCTCTCTCTCTCTCTCTCTCGGGTGTGGTTTGGGGGTTGGTGGAAGGGGAATGGAGGCTGCAGAAATGGGAACAAAGTGAAGAAAGGGGAGTTGTGAGAGGTAGTGCCAATTCCATTTGAATATATAGGGGTGAGGAGTTACGATTTCAATTACGAAGAATTACACTTGGACCTCAAAAGTTTTGCCACTTAATTATTCAGACCCCTCGACATTGAAATATTACACAAAAATCCCTTTAAGTTTGTACACTTGTAATATTTAGACCCATGTCATCAATATCCGCTAGTAAAATTACTCATATTTTATCTTTTAATATTATATTAAAATAGTTTTCAACCTAAGGTTTTGATTTAATTTATTTATAATTGTTGATTATGAAAATAAAAAAATAATACTATTATCAAAAAATTCAATGTTAAGTTCTCATTACACAAAATATGACAAGGAAAATAAAAAAAAAAATCAATTTCCCCGTTTAAATTTACACGCAGAAAAAAAAAAAAGATGAAGAAGAATAGAAAAAAAAAAGGTTCATGGCATGGATGAGAGTCTTAATTGTTACAAAATTGCTAATAAGAGATGAGAAATGTCTTGTTAATGGAAACTTATTTGGTACCGACGACAATTTTTAATACTGCTAATATAACACAAGATCAATCTAAAATTCATGGATAAAGATCTAGTTTTACAGACTCAAATCATAATTAAATTGACTCAACAAACATACTTAATAAATGAGTTGACATAATTACAATTATACACGATAAAAATTCAACTGTATAACATAAACCTAACATTATTATAAGCAAATTTCATTGCCGGCCTGAATCCAATTCGATTTCGTTTAGTTCAATATGAATTGATATTTTTTTTATTGGCAATCTAAATCCAAATTCGATCTCATTATAATTTGATCCGATCATAGTTCAATCCAAATAATTTATATATTTTTATATAATTATTAAAAAAATTAAGTGATTATTTAAAAAGTTTAGTTAAAATATACGTATAATTTGTTAAACTTTAGTTAATTAAATTATTCAGTTCGAATTAGGTTTTGGATTATTAAAGCATTCGAATATAAATTATGAAAAATAAAAATCATCGGATTATCGGATATGATTTTAATTGAACTTTTAAATTTAGATTTGAATGAATCAAAATTTGATCCAAAACCCTTTCGGTTGTAACTGTTGGAACTTGTAAGCCTAGAGAGAGTCTCTCCCTCCATTGGTCAAAATTTTTGACTCTTCTTCAACCTCCATCACATTTTGTGGTCAAACTAATTGTGATTATTTTATACAAAGCCAGCATATGCAAGTGGTACTTGTGATTTTGAAAATGTTTATTAGATTTGGTAGTTTGGAGCTTCTGTAATTAACCAAAACGCCTTTCATTTCTCAATAGAAGATGATAGGTCACTTTTGGTCCAATAGAAGCCAATATTTCATTCTAAAATTATAAGAGTAATGATAGATGAACTTAAAAATTAGATTTAAAAATTAGACTTGATAATCTCAATTATTGAATAAGTAGTGGATCCCAATAAATGTTAAGACCCACAGTGAAATTAATAGTTGAGATTATCAAATCTAATTTTTAAATCTATTTTTTAAGTTCATATAATATCTTACTAACTTTCAAAACGAGTCTCTCTTACCCACCCAAAAAAAAAAAACCATCTTTTTCTTTTTATTTTTTTTTCTTTTTTAGCACTTGACACAAAATGCATGCTAAATATAATTTTTCCATCAAGAAAAAAGGGTGTTCTTATTACTTTGGTATTAGGGGTAATCGTATCAGAAGGTACGATGCAATGTAAATGATTTTGGAAGGAAAGTTGATAAGTGTTGAATGAATCTATTTGATATTGTCGAATGAGGTTAGTGAAGTATACACTGTTTTATATTATAAATTATAGATAATCCGCTAAAATATAAAGAATAAAAACATAAAAATCATCAACGAGATGTTTGTCAAATATTAACTAATTTAACTAAATTCTTAGGACCTCGTTCCAACCCAAATGGTTTAAACCCTTTGTAATGGAGCGGCATGTTGAATGTTCGATTCCCCTCTCTTAATCTCCTCCCTTGTAGAGTAAAAAATCATTGCTATAAAAAAAACTTAATTCTTGAAAAATAACTTTGAAAAACTGACAAAACAACTATTCTTTCAAGAGCAATTTTTTTTTTTTTTTAATTTTTCCTAATGAGTATTTGGCTTTGGGAAGAGGGTATTATCAAAGTAACAATGCCGGTACTAAGAATATGGTAAATACCGTAATGCCCAATAAGATAGGGTCATATATAAAATAATCAAATACATGTAGGCCAAACTTTTTCCACAAAACTTTTAAAAATTACAAATACTTAAAATGATTGAATTATTTTTATATATTCCTAATGAGATTATATTGTCCCTAACATTGCAAAAACAACCTTAACCTTTTTTTTTTTTTTGAATTGGACATTAACTTCAAATGACTAAATTGGTGTTCTATATTTCATTACAAAAAATTGTAACATAGAAAAAGTATCGAAAAATTATTGTCATTCTAAAAATCAAATTACAACTCATAAAAAAAAATGTATAACTGATTGAAGTAAATTTATGATTAATTACAATATTTTATGATCAATATAAAAAATTTTAATTTCACATCTAAAAAATATAACTTAACTTTAAAAAATAATAACTTTGGTACCATATGATTTTTTTTTAAAGATACTGTAAATGTTCTCCATTATTATCACTGAAAAGACAACATTAGAGAGCAAGTTGAAAAAACAACTTTAAAAAAAAAAAAAAAAAATTTCAGATCGTTTAATCATAGGCTGATTGATTGTGAAGGTGAAATATAGAGGCTGCATACAATAGATTTGCCAGACTATGTACTACTTTGAGATAAACAATGGCCACTCGATAACATTAATCAACAATAGCACATGATGCCACGTGGATAGTTTCATTGGTGGGGCCCAATAATCTCTGACAGACAAATTTTATTTTGTTTTGTTGTGTTGGAGAGGACAGAAGCAGTCTAAGTCAATGCGTGGGTCCAGTTGACGATTAAAGTTTGAGGATTTCTGACGAATCACGTGAAGGAGAGAGAGGAGAAAGAGAGAGAGCACATGCCATGGTGGGGGGGGGGGAGTTGGGACTTGTGCCTAGTATTGGTCTATCATCTATGGTGAGACATTCACCGGTAATTCAGACGGTTTCATAGTCAAAACATGGTAATTCGGACGGTTGTATAGGGCGTATTTGTTAATCAAAATTTAACGCTTGAAATAAATATATTTGATATTTATTAATTAAGTTTATTTAATAATTAAAATTTTAACTCTTTTAATATATTATGTACTCTTTTAAAATATGTTATAATATTAAGTAGGAGATTTCTTACTTAATTTTGAAAATTAAAAACGTTTAGTAAAATCATATTTAATAAATGTTTATAATATGACAATTATATCCCAAAATATTTTATAATCATATTAAAACTCTAATTAGTGTTATCTCTAAAACTCTTAACCTATCTATCCTCTTTATCAATCGTCTTTTTCAGGTAATAGATGCTCTTCTTCTTCTTATTTTTGTTTTTCATCGCTCGTGTTCTGCAAATAATCATGTTAAAACACACACTCATGTTCACTGTACACCCACACCCACACCCACATCCACATACACACACAGACATGGACATAATGAGATTTAATTTATTCTATTTTTTTAATTTGATTATTTATTCATTTTTTTATTTATTGTTATCCGATTATTTATTAGTTATTATTTTTTTTATCAGATGTTATTGTTCACTTATTGTGATTTGATTACTTATTTGTCGTTGTTCTTTTTTTGTTTTTGATCAGATGTTATTATTCAGTTATTATGTTATTCAATTTATTATTGATTTGATATATTGTCATTTCTTATTAGATAAAAATATATTTTATAAATATTTTTAAATTAAAGAGTGGAAGGGTAAAGCTGAATATTAATTTATTTCAAACGTCAGTTTTGTGTAGTTATCAAACAATTTGTTTTAATTCAGTACTTAAATTTCAGTGGATACTAAACAGTCCACAAATTAATAAATAGGTATTACACATATAATATTTGTGATAAACAAATAAGGAGAAAAATGAGATTATAGTTTAACACCAGGTATAATATACTATTGGATTGGAGTGGAATGAATATAAAACCTTATACCACCTAAGTTTTATACTTGAAACAAACATGCCCTTATTGGGTACTGTACCACTTACTAGGCTAATTTTGCACTTTTTTTTGGTAAGTTAGGAGTACAAAGCATGCCTGATCTTGATGTAGGCTAAAATTAGGACCAATCATGATTTGTCATGACTGATCCAATACAAACCCATATCTTTTTTAAAAATTAGTGAAAATTGGAAGTGAATCCCCCTAAATGTACTTGTTTGGAGATAAGTCTTGCAAGAAAACTTATAAGAGGTTAAGTTCATATTAAAAATTATATGTAATGACTTAAGTCTACTTTTTCTTTTATCTCAAAAATACACTTTCTTGAAAGGAGGTTAAATTAATTTTCTATTTTGGATATAGTTATCCCTTAATTCAATGTCAACTAAAATATGTCAATAAAATCTCTATCATAAATTTATAATTCAAATTCAATGCTCTTTCTCTTTCTCTCTCTCTCTTTCTCCGGCTAGCTAGTGACATTGTTTCATCAATGTTCATCTTTTAATTTTCTATGAATTATGTCACTTTTGTGGCTAATGGATGAGAATCTCTAGTGCTTATTAATTTTTTTTTTTTTGTAATTTGTGATATTTTTCGTGGGGTTTAATTTGTTAAATTGAATGTTTCATATTATTTTTTTTTTTATGTTACTGTTTTTGTTGAATATGTTATTATTCATGTTACTATTATTTTGAACATGTTACTAATATTATTTTCCTAAATATTAATATTCAATGTTAATATA